TTTTTTTTTTTTTTGTTTACAAAAGAACTTATAAATGTAGAATATTCCAGTGCAGGTTTGAGTAGTCTGTATATTGTGGGTGGTGGGGGGGGAATACTTTTTTTCACTTCGAAAAACATTTTTTTTAATGTTGTTTACAGATTTAATCTAAAAACACCCCTGCAAGGTATAAGAAGTGTTGTGGCGTTTTAATATCGCACGATCATGTAGTTCAAGCAGCCTTGTAAAAAGCCTTAAAATGAATTAATCTTTCATTGCAGTAGCATAACCATTAAAGAGTTTAGAAAAAAGTAAAAAGGTTGCTTTATTCTCTTCCAATGCTGACATTTTACTTTCTTTGCAAACTCCCACAAAGAAGACACAACATAGAAACAGGACATGTCTTAGGCTTCTTCTAAGACATTTCGTAAGGTTGAAGAGAGATCTCTGACAAAACTCTTTTGATAATATCTCTAGATCGTCCACCTTTTTGCTCTCTCTTCATCTCATTCCATATATTATATAGAGTATAGGGACTAATGTGATTGAAGAAGGTTGATTGTTGTTCGGGTGAGGTATTTTGTGTTGATTTCCTGCTGATCCAATGGTGAACTATTCACAATTTCATGGTAAGGCCTCCGTATTTTTGCTTAAATGTCGTGATAACTCACAGTTCAAAGCATCATAAACTCCGAGGTTCCTGGCAGGAACTTTATAAGCGAAAACAAGATCAGAGAAGTGCATTTAGACATATCTATCCTTTGCTTTGTTGCAGCTTTGCTGATTTTGAAGGTTGGACTGGTAAGCCTTTTTACCAAACAGCAAGGTCCCATGCTGTTTGGTAACAGCAGCTATAACTGCTGCTGTCCAGCCAGCTATAACTACTGAATTAACCCACAACCAATCAAATTGTAGGAAAACATTTGAGATTATGGATTGGTATAAAATGCAGCGCAGTTCTGTATGAAGCACATAACCTAGTCTTTGCATTCTGCTAGCGGGGGCAGTCGACTCAACACAACACTGTCTCTGTTGTCTGTAGAGACATAAAGGGATAGAAAACTTGGTCAAGAGCTAATTGACCAAGAATTTATTTTAATCTTCTGCTCATGCAGCCTCCTTCCTAATGCTGCCCTGGGCAACTGCCCATATGGTCAATATAGGAGAAAATATAAAGACTGATGCTAACAGACAACTTTTTGTTGCACTTGTCCAATGGTGAGCTTTGGAGATTATTACTGTGTGGTGACCTGATGAATATGGGAACTCACCCAGGCTAGTGCTTAAAACTCAAATGCATAAGTTATGTTTGTTTTAAAGATTTGTGAGGGGGAGAAAAAAAAAAAAAAAAAAAGTTTTTTCCTGCATCTCTACCAGGGATGCCAACAAAATGGCTTCCTATTTTTACAGGAAACCAGATTGTAAAGAGAGGAGACTGCATCACATGTACTTTGTTCGCATAAATCACAGAGTGTCAGACGTAAAATCAAAATGTCAAGCATTATACGGAACCAGTCCAAATCACCAGAGAGGCAGGCGCGGAGATTATCCGCTAGATCATATCTCTGAGTGCACGTCTACCTCTATGCATGTTCCCGTCAGATAAAATGCACATCCCTTTTCAATGATCTAGAAACGGGATTTACATGGTAGACTCCAAAAATGTCAACCTGTACATACCAAAAAAAACATTTCACTTCAATTTGCAGTGACATTAGCCTAAAGGGAAAATTGTAGAGGGGAATAAATGAAATTCCGGGACAAAGTTCAGTTTTTGCTCAGCGGCACGATAACCATAAAGAAGTGCAGCGACGGAAGATTTAACCGTTTGAAAGATGTTGATCATATTTTCTGATAAATGCGGCCCCTGATAGGACTCGTCTTTGTGGAGGTTCGCGGGTCTTGTGATGATGAAAAGCCGCGCGGATTATTCGAATCCACTAAATCACAGCTAAAAGTCGCCGTGCACAGCCAAGGTCTATGAAACTATCAGCCCCAAATTGAGAACACAGACGATATGTTACCACATTGCCAAGTGCTACCACTTAATGCCATTAATCTTGGTGCTCTCCCCCTCATCCCTCTCACTCCGTCTCTGCGCCGGAGAGCCGGGCGTCCTCTAAAAGTATGGATCTTGACCGCAGCCATTTTCCGCAGAAGAGGGAAAGGCTAAAGAGAAAGCGCTGACCCCTCTTCGCCACAATTTTCCCCTCATCAACTTGTGAGACTTCATTAACTTCCATGGTGTAATTTCTTCTTTCAGTGGGTTTCTAAAGGGGAGAGGGAGGCGTATGACGATCTCGACCGCACAAACCGATGTATTCTTTGTTCTCCCTCATCTTCCCTGCAGCCTGCACCTAAAAATACTTTGTTTTAATTTGAAATGGCGACAAGGGTTTTTTTTTTTTCCTCTTTTTTTGCCTTTAATCCTTGTAAAGTCAAAATGGTTGCACAATAGGAATACCTTGAAGATAGGAAAGATGGATATAATAGCAAACGTCTTGATGGCAACCAGTAAAGCACTGGCACTTTCTAATATTGTAAAGCAGTCCAAATGTTCATAAAGGTAGATTTCACATTTTTCTGTCCCTAAAGAGACATAAATAATGTCTGAACACGGCTTTAATCGTCCTGATGTGACAGCTGAGGCCTTGCCTAGAACCTGAACTGTGGAAACTGTGAGCCAATGCTGCCCTCCTCAGGTGGATCTACGTCTTTGAGTGCTGAAAAAGGTGTGGACGAACCCCATGACGGATGCAAAATCTTTTTGTTTTTATTTATTTACTGCAATTAGCTAAACAAAAAAGTAGTTTCAAGAAAGGTACATGTGCATAAGTTTCAGTCAAATTTGTTATATTTGGCAGTTAAAAACTGCTCCCTCAAAGCTGTAATTTACAATAACAACGTTTGTATTTTAGAGAGCAAATTTGTGGCGTATCTAAAGGTTATTTTTTTGGTGGGATACGCAAATTGGTGTGTGCATGTTTAATTTCACTCCCAAAGTGGTGAAATTTGACATGACTTTGTAAAAGCCCTGAAGCTGATTCAGACAGGTTCCTTCTGCTCCAGCGTGTCTTATTATCCGAGTTAGCTTGCAAACACAACAACGATCCCAAGCAGGGAACAACATGGTAGCTATCAACAAAGCTAACAATGGAGTGTGTAAATATAGTCAGAAACATGCTCACAAGCCTTCCAACAGTTAAGAAACTGGCTTACAACCGTACAGGTGTGTTTATGAATAAACTCATACCTGAAGAAGGGGAATACTTCAATAAACGAGTCAGACACGTGAAGAGGAAGCTCCGGTGGTCCTCGTTATGGGATAGCGCTAGCGGTAAACTCCCCCTGCTGGTTGCATCCGGCTACATCAACCAAATCAAACCGTATATCATTTAGCCCAAACTGCTGGAAAAACATTGCGAATCAATCCTTTACGCCTCCACCCAGTGTGACGTCGTACAGTGAGAACTGTGGTTTATATCCATGCACTACCACTTGAAAAAATGTGTTATATTGCTAAACGTTAGGATAAGAAATGACACCTTCTTGTGTAGTTATGATGACTTAGTGCTTGTAAGGTATTTGAGGCCTCATACATACATCACCAAAGGACTGCAGCTCTTCCAACGTGCAGTTCAGAAAGCGATGTTCATCGGTCTGTGCCGATATATAAACTTTCCTCTCTCTTCTTTCGCTCCTCCGAGCTGCTCCTCATGATACATGAAGTACCAGTACCAGACCTGGAGCGGAGGCAAATGCCAACCTGCTAGCTCCTCCAAATGTCAAATCTGACAGACACAAACATTCAGCAGCCATCGCCACTGGGTTGTTTCAGACACACACACACACACACACCTCAAACAGTCCTCAGTGTCTCATGAAAGCAGAGCAGGGTGAAGTGGCTGGATTCAAGTGATGCGCTTTCTGTTCGGCAATAGAAGAAAAGAGACAAGTCTGGAACACAAACAAAGCTTGCCATGAACTCGTCATGATCAGATATATTTTTAGATGGAAAAAAAAACTGACTCATTTAGTTTACATTGCCAGGTAGAGTGAGACGAAAGAATAAACACTTATAGGGATTTTAAAATAGAAATTTTGACACATGTCCACCAGAGGGAGCCATATACAAAGGGACAAATATCTTCAACCAACGGGAGAGCCTTCTCGGGATCTGATCTGTAGCTTTACTTTGAATGAATTCAAACTTGTGTTCGGATTTTACAATGTTGTTAAACTGACTCAATAACCTAGGTTTTATTTTATAGATAGGTAGGTTTTAAATGCATATTTTGTTCATGTTCAGAGTTTCTGTAAACAAAACATTCACAATTTGATAGGTGCGAACTACAGAAGACATAAAATAAGAATATTATGAAAAAAGGTAGGAGACATTCCACTGTGAGCATTCTGGTTTATTGAAGGCACATCAGTTAAAAAGTGAACATATCGGTTGTGCTTCACACATACATTCATCGTCACTAGGCTTCGTCCTTGGACTAAATTTGTTTGTATCGCACATTAGGTCGAATTCACTTGATTTGGACACAAATCCTGTAAGGCAGTGACAAGTCTAAAGGACAAAATCACATGAATCACTTAAGATACACGACACCTTCTTTATAAAGCACCCTTATTTTAGTGAGAAATCATAAATTACATTTCATAAATAGACAAAACAGAACAGGCAGTCAGATCTGTGTCAGACTGACCGGCAACTACTAATGTACAGTGCATCACATTTCACAGCAATAAATTAGCCTAGAAGACTTTAGTTTTTTTTTTCCAGTGCATCTCAATGCTTCTGGCAACTAATCTGAAAAAAAAGTGTGTTTATGTGGTACAAAACTTAACAGAACAAGTGCATCTCAGTAATTTAAATTATCGCTAGAAAGGGATTTTCAGTCATTGAATAAGAAAATGAATCTCATTAATTATATAGATTCATTTCTACACAGAAGGATATGTCTCAAGTGATCATTTTGATGACAATTCTCAACAGCTTTTATAATCCAAAACTTAAGTCTTTCAGAAAATGTTCACATTTCACGACCAATGAGAGAAAAATACTGAAATGCTATTTATGAGTGACGACTTGACAGGATTAGGTTACTGACTCCATCCAAAAGTGGGTCAAGCCGCAAAAAGCCATTGTTAAAGAAGCTGCCTGCTAATGGAAAATCGAGTGGAAGAAAAAAAGTGTGGTGGGGCCAAAGTCCTTTCATTAGCTTTGTGCCAGTCATCTAAACTAGCAGAAACAAATGGCTGAAATAGATCCCTCTGTGAAATGGTGGGAAAAATCCAACTTTCACTGTTGGTTCCAGTAAAGCATCCATAAATGTGCATTTGAAAATATGTTTGACTACAATTATCGCGTGGTGATTAGCCAAACAGTTGCCATGCTTACTACAGCTAAAGTGGCTTACGTTATAATGTGTTGTATTTAGAACAGTATTAACTGTGTGCAACAGAAGTGTCTTCAAAACCAGCGACTGACTTTTAGTTTTAGTTTTTGTCGGAATTTTTATCAGTATCGCAACAAATGGCACCAAATATCATAAAATCCGATACGCCAACCCAGTTATAAATTTCATTTTTTGAATCTATAACAAATACATTTTCTATAACATTTCAAGCAAAAACAATTGCAAAATGTTATGCATGTTTTTGTGTGTGTGTGGGTAAATACTGTGATATTTCTACGGTTATCCTACCGTGGGAATGTCATACTGGCATATTTCAACTAGTGTGAATTAGTTTATTTAAAAAAAATAAACTAATTTAGACAAGTGGAACTTACGCTTGCAGTGCGCCCTGGGACATTAAAATTAAATGTAGCAGAAGTCATGAGAAGAAAGCTTTACAGTTTCTTGGAATTTTCCAACCACACCAAAAAAAAAAAAAAAAAAAAAAAAAAGGCATGGTAGTGATATTATCTTTAAACTCTGGAGAGAGCAAACCTTCACTGACTCTGAACGTATTGTCTCTTTTTCGCTTCAGGTCCTTCAGAGTCCTTCATGCAAGCCACCAGGAAGTCACGACACTTGCGAGTGTACTGCTCGGGAAAATCGCGGAAGTGACAGACGTGGGCACTGGAGGCGAAGTCGCAGCTATGCACAGGGACGCCCTTCTTTGCCACGGCCTCGGCGAAAAGCTCGATGTCCCTGTGCCTGATTACCTGGTCCGCTCTGGAGTACAGCAGGAAGTGGGGCCAGGCGGGCGGGCGCTCTCGCACGGCGTCGTAGTGGTTCTTGTGGATGAACTTCGTCACCGGGTACAGCACGATCCGCAGGAGGAAAACGCTCACCGCGAACAGCGCCAGGAGGACGTACTTTAAAGCGGGGCTTATCTGGGGCCCCAGGGTGGCGGTGAGCGCGCGCAGGGCGCCTTGGACGTTTCCGCTGCCGGGCGCGCTGTCCACCACCGCCCCGAGCACGCGCAGCGAGCTGAACTGCTGGTCGCTGTGCAGCAGCTCCACGATGTACCGGTAGAGCATGAAGCCGCCGTTGCTGAAGACGTGGAAGAAGACGGGGCTGTTCTCCACCTCGTAGTCGTAGAGGATCTCCAGCAGCTTGAGCGCGGTGCTGCTCAGCTCCTTGTAGCCGAACGTCTCAGAGATGAAGACGGTCTTCAGCGGCGCGGTGTAGCGGATGGTGACGCATCCCTGAGGGAAAAACCCAAAGTGGAATAAAGCCGACTGTTGGCAATTTCCTGTGACGTCGCAGCAGTTTTGAAGCTACAAGCCACTAGATATTTCAGTAAAAACAAACCGAGCAAACTCTGGATATAGTTTGTCACCTACTAATCAATATATTCTGGACAATTTCCCATTAAGTGTCAGAATTTTGCTGTAAAATTATTTGATAAAGTTAAATTCTATCCTCCCCGATACGGGTGGGAATTTATCGTATCATTCATCATTTATCGTGATAAATTTCTTATTATGATATGATTTTTGATTTATTGTTGTATCAAATTTGAAAATTTTATTAAATTCTTCTTGTGTGCATTTCAGTGACACAAACCACACTTCTTTATGTGGTTAGTGTTCTAAAGAAATGCATTACAAATGTGCATGTTTTTCAGCAGCAGTATTTGTAATTGTGCAGTGCAGTCACGTTCATAGATACCTACAAAAAAGTAACATATACTTAGCATCATTTGTATCATTATTGCAATAGTACCACAACATATTGTGATAAAAGCTTCTATACACATATGCCTCTGGTGACATCACAGAAGGTAGCTTCTTAGTTTTTTTTAGTGGACTAAATTCTACTTATTGTGTTTTTTTTCCTCCTTCTTGTCAAATTCTACTTTAAATGTGTTTCTATGAATTACTCATTCCAACAATGCCTGGACACATGGAAGATCTCTGAGAAAAGGACAAGAGAAGACTGGAATGGCCAATTATCAGGTATGTGGTTATGAAACACCAAATGATATGCTTGGTGTGTTTTACTGAAATAATTATTAAATTCTAATTTGAGTTTTTTTTTTGTTGTTTTTTTGCAGAACTGTTTCAACATTTATAACTTGAAATTTGCTATATCATGCATGTGCTTGCAGTACAGCCTGTACCAGGAGGTGGGCATTTATCGCATTGTTTATTTATCGTGATAAATTTCATATGTGATGAGAATTTGGATTTGTTGTTGTTGCTATAAATTCCGTAACAAATGCGTTTGTTTGTCAAGAGCAGTATTTGTGGTTGTGGTGCTTTTGCTGTGTCATGCAGTCACAGCCATACAGTTACCTAAAAAACAAGTAATAAACAGTTGTTAATCGTCACTTGAATTGTTAACACAATAGTACGCCCAAATATTGTGATCAAATTTTAAGTCCGCAGCATCAGTATCGCCTCCATCTTGTCAACAAAACAAAGAGGTTATAAAAATTCAATGCTCTGCAGTCAGAGAGAGAGAGAGAATGCTTCCAGGTGAACTTCTGCAGTGTGGGTTCAAATTACATACCGACACTTTAACTGGCAAGTAACTATTATATTTGCCATGGAAACTCAATTTTCCATCATCCGGTTGCTGTTTTGCAGTCATTGTGCAATTGATAGTGAAAAAAATTACACTTCCTTATAGTATTTTGACTGGAATAATCCACAATCTGCAGTGGCTTTTTTAATCTCGTTGACCTGACCTTGTCATTGTAGATAGAGCTGTATTTGGAGAGGTGTTTGTCCTTGCACCCAGCCCAGCCCAACAGGATCACAACTGGCTCCTTTGTCCCCTGCCAGTGTCTCTCTGAAAACAGTACGAAACGCACGCGCGCACACGCACATACACACACGCGCGCACACACACACACACACACACACACACACACAGTGCTTTAACACAAGCAGAAGCGAGCTGCACCAGCAGTAACGGTACCACACACACAGCGGCTCTGCTGGACGGAGCTACCGTATGGGTTACATACAAGGAGGACTGTGCATCTGTAACTATGACTACAATTACTCACCTAATGTGCCCGCATCCGGAAATACAATATTGTAGTCAATATCGTCGGCAGCCATTTCTAAAAGCTCTCCAGCGGGCTAACTTTCTCTCATTTAGACGTTATAAGCAAATGAAAGCAGGCTAACCTTGACAAAATTAGGTATTTTCTTTGTGAAAGAAAAAAAAAGACACTACAAACAGGTTCATTCACAACATTGACCAGACAGTATTGCAACAGAACCCTTCCTACCAACAGGAAAACCTCTTCTTCCTTGTTTTATAGCATGAGCAGCGATCTGTCTTTGGCTTCTCGCCCCCTGGTGGACGGCGGTCGAAAACGCACCTGAAGATCCACTGCTCTGCATTTTGAAATAGATACAAACTGCTTTGTAAGATTACACGCCACCTTATATTTTCTTTATTTTATTCTGGACAATTTATATAACTCTTTTGGACAAACTGAGACCACAATAACAGATTTCAGAGTGTTCATAAGGTTTTAATTACCAAGAGAAATGAGAGGTAACAAATCTACATTGTGGTAACCATGGATACAAAACAACTTATTTCCAGCGACATGTCAGATAATTAAATGGGTTGGCGCTTCAATTTAAGAAAATTAATTTGATAAATAAGGCAATGTTTTGAATTTGATGAACAGAGGAGGAGAATAAAACACTGGCTGCTGATCCAAACCTTTTGATCTATTGTAAGAATTGTAACTGCTTAAAGGAAATTTTGATAACAAAACAATGTCATTTATCATGTTCTTCATTAACATGAATTTATTCAATGATTGACCGGGCTTGATAAGACTTTTAGGACCGGCCAGTCTTAGATGGTTCCTCAAATTTTCACACAAATCCAACCAGCAGCTGCCAAAATGATAAAAAGAATATTATTAATCTCATCTTGTGTGACATAAAATGACAGATTGAAAATTATAGAGAAACTGAGCTACATCTTCTGCCCCCACACCATCTCCATCTTCTGAACGTGGGCCTTGGATGACTTGGCGAAGGTGCTTTTGACCACATTGAGGGGAGCTGCCTTGCCGCTGAGATAGATCTTATTGATGCAGACGGGGAGCCAGGACTCCTCTGACTGGGCGTCGGCTCCTTCCGGCCCAGGCTCCGCCTCCTTCTTGATGAGCGCGCACGCGTAGGCGAAGATGTATCCCGTCATGTAGGCGTCAAAGCCCGCCCGGTGCGTTCCCGCGTCCGCCTTCTTCCTCGCCTCGGCGTTGGACTCCGTAGAACGGATGCCGGTACCTTCTCCGACGCTCACCGCAGAGTCTCCGGGGTTCGTTTTGTCTTCACCGACTCCGTTTTCTTCTTCGTCGTCGTTTTTCATATCCCGCCCGTCGTCCATGTGAGAGTTTCCATCGGTGCATGATTTTTCGTCCCCCTCCTTTTGGTCACCGGCTGCTTCTTCCTTATCCTCTTCCATGTTTGCCATTTTATTCGTTGGGGCGCCGTCGGAGACGGAGCAGTCCTTGCCTGTATCCGATGCCCCCTTTTTATCTCTCAGTCTCTTCCGCCTTTTCCTTTTGTCGTTTTTACATTTTTCATCCTGCAGGATGATCAGGTCTGTGTCGTGGGACAACGGGCAATTGGTGCCGTTTGGACACCAGCCAAAAGCCTGAAAAGAAAAGCAAAAAAAGGTTTGGTTCATTTAATTAAAAGGTAAAACATGTACACTTAGATTAAGTCATGCAACATCTGCATTAGTAGTAACTGAAAGCTTGTTTTACTAAATAAAATCTGATGTAAAACCCTAATATGTTTCAAAAACATTAATGAATAAAATAAGTAGAAAACAACAAATACTTTATTGTACTTGGAAAAGTATATACACTCCTGAACTTTTACACACTTTATGTTACAACCACAATTTCCATTCTGTTACTGGGATTCACAGTATCTCTTTCCAGTTTAGCAAACTTTAGTGAAAATATTACCCCTTATGAAATGGTTTAAACTCAGTAAGAATGGGTGGATCTTGTCTTAACATCAAGTTTCTGGTCTTGCTTGTTTTTTGGTTGTTTTTTTTTAACACAGGCAGTGTTTTGTATGTGAATGCAAATGCATGCCACACTTTTTAGATTTATACAATAAAAAAACATAATGTCTTCCTTCCATTTCACAGATACACATTATGTTTTTCGTCTAGTATCATATAAAACCTCAATATAAAACACAAAATTTAGCAATAAAATGTAAAAAAAATAAAATAAAAATAATTGATTACTACATTTTTTGTAAAACTGGAACATTCTTCCAACTTAAAAGGTTGCTGAAATTCAGTGAAACTTACTGAAAAGCGCTGGCAGACATCCGTCTGTCCCTCTGTGGATGTAACGGCCGGACATTCTCTGTAGTCTATGTAGGTGGACAAGTCGCCCGCGTACTGGCAAAATTCTAGGTGGACGTGAGGTCCAGCTGAGCCAGAAGTGACACTGCGGCTGTTTTCCAGCTTACTGGCGATATGTGGAAAAAGAAAAACAAACACTCAGGTCTACTGTTTTACTGTACGTCTTTAAAAGCAGACAGTGTCGCCGATGAAAGGACCGCCATGTTACCGCGAACCCTCCTGGTATGCTTACCATTTCTTGTAGGCGTATTCCAGGTACGAGGCGGTCAGCCGGAGCTCAAATTCAGTCACGTATTTGGTGTCGTAAATCCCAGCGGGAAACATCTCAGACAGGTCAGCTGTGAAGGTGGTTAGCCGCTCGGGGAGGTGGGCATAAAAACTCTTCCAAAAAATAAAAATAAAAAAATCCCACCAGAAAGAAAACAATTAGTCTCATTAATATGGAATACATGTAAAACCAATAGTTTGTCTTTTAACAGTGACAAAAATATTTGGAGATGATACAAACCAGCAGCTGCAGCCAATTATTTTAGCAATTAATTATTCTGACAATTAATCAAGTAAGTGGATACAAAAAAATAAAAAAGGCACATTCTGCTGATTATTCATTTACCAACTTAGGCTTATTTTATACAATATTAAAAATATGTTAAAAAATGCAAATAAAATCATATTTTCTGAAAATTAAGAAAATAAAATTGTATTGCCTAATATGCAATAATGTAGCAAAGAATGTATCTGCAGCTACATAAATATTGAAATAACCTCATCTGCTTCACTTCACATCAGTTACTGCTAATCTTCTGACTGTTTTTTTTTTGTAATTGACCAATTAATAATTGGACAACAGAAGGTGCTGAATAGGAGAATTTTACTGAATTTGAACCAGGTGAAACTAAAACTACGATTACTTGAGGAGTTCTGGGTACAAAATATTAACAAACAAAGCAGATTTGTCATCTAAAATGCAAAATGTGTATATTTTTTGTACAGTTTTGGCTCGACTCCTGTGCTGAATGTGTTGTTCTTTCAGTAAACTGCCATTTTTTGAGTTCATACACTCCAGTCAATGATAATTTGATTACTAAATTATTTGGCAATTATTTCAATAACCAATTAATCTCGACTCATTGTTTTCCCATACGCCGCCTCATGGTTCTGGAGATTAAACGAGACAAAACAGCGCTCTCTGTACCTGGTAGAGGAAGGCCATGTCGATGAGCCCGTTGTGTAGCACCAGGGCCTTCCTGGCTCGCAGCAGCTCAGTGAACAAAGTTCGGATGTGGACCCCACGTTCGTCTGAACCTCCCTTGCAAGACATGAAAACGTGCAACAGAACACTTAAGGGAAAATGGAGTCAAAGTAATCGCAGGAGAAGCCGAGGAGAGCCAACTGGCCGTTCGGTTCGGATGGAGCATCGACACAGACACCAAGGCGTCCTCACCTTATTGTTGCCCTTGCAGTAAGGGATCCCACAGCCATACTGCTTGTTAAAGTCAAACCCATGCTGCACCAGAAACTGGACCGACTGCGGCTCTATGATGTACTCCTCTGAACACAGCAGGGTGAGGTTATACACCTGGACCAGGTAGGAGTCTGGAGGCTGACGGAGAAAAACGCTTCTTACGTCAACGAACGTCCTTGCTAAATTAATCTTACGCCTGACCTTTTTGCATGTCTTGTATCTACGCAACCACAAACAACAATTTAATTTATTTGGATTTGTGTGACTGATGGACAAAAATGTGTATAAAAGTGAGAAGCGGATTTTTCTTTTCCAGATAAAATCTGTAAAAGTGAGGCCTGCATTTGTAATAAGCCCCCTTTATTCGGATGCCCCTAAATGCAGGACATAGAAACATCCTTTGGAATCCCTCTGTGGGGATAGAGTCTGGAATCCTGGATAAAATTCCAATCGATGACCAATTGCATGTCTGACCTATTATTAGATTGTAAGTTGTCACAATTATGCAGTACTTCCTGTCGTCTGTTTGTTTTTTAGCATCACAAAACAGGAAAAGAAATGCACACACATAGTTCATAGTTTAAGCATTTACTTGGTAATATATAATATCCGGTACAAGTGATACCTTTTGGTCCAGCTTCTTGTAACACGCAATTCCCAAAGAAAGGATGGAGCGAGATCGAGCAGCGTGACATATTGCTTTGTATCTGTCCTCTATTGATCTGTAACATATAAGAAAGGACTCAGAGAAACAACTCTGATCACAAACTAACATCTGAGGGGATTATTATTATTTTATGATGATCAAATTAAAAAAGTACACTCACTCAGCCAACAGGGACTTTCTGTTTCCCAGACCACTCAGCTCCTGTAGCAAAACAGAGGCAGTTTTTCTTCCAACTGAGCGACACACACACACACACACGCGCGCGCAGCACTTACCGTGTCAAGCGCAATGAAGGATGATGTTTTAATTGCAACCACCATGGCTGGCCATAGCTCCTTGAAATTGTTGCTATGGACATCAATTACAGGAACTACTATCGAAGATGACATGTTTGCTTTGAACTTTGTATCTAAAACGTTTCCCTTAAACTTAACAACTGCTACATGGAAGTTCCATTAACACAAGAAACTACCTAATAAATCGTTTTTAGCTATTAAAAATGTTATATATACCTAATTACTAATTTAACGTCTCCGTTATAAGGTTTCAGATAACGTTCATTAGCTTCATATTTCCGAGTACAGAGGGTAGCATCAATGAACCTCGCCGTAAACATTTCAGCGTGCTTCTCAGTTGTTGGTGGTTGAAATTTCGCATGACTGGAAATGAAGGTAAAAATACCAGATTCTCAACTAAAATGCCTGTAATATTAGAGTAAAATGCATATGTAAAAAGAGTCTGATTTTGGTTATGTAAAATCACATTTTATTTGTTGATTTTTTATAGTCACATTTTTTTTTCAGTCAGGCACTTTTGTTGACAAACGTCAAAATTACGTCACTGCACTCAAACACCGAAGGGCCGCGCGCCATTTTGGCTCAAACAAACTCCTTAATATTTTATCCCAATTAAAGTGTTTTTATACTGTAATAGGGTATTTTTATGCTAACATATTGTCGGGTAACAGTAAACTTACAACGACTTAACATTTGTCTTGCCTTCTTTTTACGTTGTGAAAGTTGTCAGCCAAAAGTCATGGTTTAAAGAAACCCCAGCTGAGCCAAGTCATTTCTTTGCTAAGTTTTGTTTTGTTGTCGGTTGGTTTATTTTTCACTTTGTGTAATGGGAGGCTGCTCCGCTCCAAACTGCTCCAATTCAACTAGCATAGGGAAGCAGCTGTTCAGATTTCCCAAAGATCCTGTGCGAAAGAAGAAATGGGTTGTGAACTGCCGGCGTGACTTTGAGCCCACTCCTCACTCCAGACTCTGTCAGGTAAAATAGTTTTCTGTGTCCCTCTAAAATTACACATTCAGGACAATGTCTTTGCATATTTAGTAGATAGCCCTGCTTATTTGTTTCCATTCAGTGCTTTTACTGCACTTCGTTGTCGTATTTAACTAGATCACCACCATTGATAACTTGCATGTTTACACTGTTACTGATATGTCTTTTCGCAAGGACCACTTTGAGGAGAGCCAGTTTGAAGAAATAGCCAGATCTCCAGCTGGTGGAAAAAAGCTGAAGCCTAATGCTATTCCCACTCTGTTCAATGTGGGAGACCCTCCTTTCCCTGCAGTCACCTCTCCATATATCCTGCTGCCACTAAAATCTGAAGCAGGTACTTTTCTAAACGAATTATTGTCCCTGTCTTGGAAAATGGAATAATATAGCAGAAAAAAAAAAAAAAAAAAAACAAACCGCTCACAGTCTTTAGATCTGGCAATCATAAGGATTCCTTCAAAATTATCATACCTTCAGAATTCTTTAATTCAAGCTGATTTGTCTTTTCTTGACCACTAGGCTGACAATAGATCCATTATTATAAAAATACATTTTATTATTTACAGAGATCCTCCAGGACACTTAAGGTCACTTACAAAAAAATGCTCAACGGTAAGCAAAATGCAAAGCATATTGTCAACGTAGTAAAACAAATGTTAGCAATAGCAGATTTCTGTGAGGTCATTTCAGAGGATGGGTTAGCAATGTGAAGGAGCATGATGAGATATTGGAGCCTGAGATTGTTTGTGACCTTTGACTAAGATCATACTTTAAATGATTTAATGTAAATTCTGTGGGGTAGTTCTATAATAATAGTATATAGTAAATACTCTCACAACACAGGGATCAGAATGGTCACGGTGGTAGAAATAAACTACAAAGTTCACTGTTGGATAACTTTGCCAATTCTGGGGGTGGGGTCTCCATAGTAACCATTAGACTTTGCCTCTACATGCCAAATAGTTGTTTGGAAGTAGGTCAGGAAAAAAACAACTTTTGTTTTTGTCCTAATGTGGAGTGTTTCGAACTCTACTGACACTAACTGTAATCGTGTGCTTTGGTATAAGATTAAAAATTAGATTAAAAATATGATGAACTCACTGTACTTTTATTTATTGGTAAGTTTTATGTTCAGAAACTTGAGGCACCCAAAAAAAAATTAAGCACAGGTTTTGTACAACTTCGTGTACCAAAAGACACATGACCTATTTTGAAATAATTAGAAAAGAAATGTGTCCCCAGTGTTCTGTTGTGGTTAAATTTGTATTGCTCTTTTCATAGTGAGGCACAAAAATACACCAAAAACCTCACGAATATGCCTTAAAGGAGAAGCTTTTTAAGTTGCTTAAGAAGACATTCGGCTACCACTCTACCTCTTCAATTGCGTTTCAAATGCGTTAGATCACGGCACTGCTCTTCTACTTGGACGTTTTCTTGTGATTCTAGTGGAAAAGGATCTAAATTTTGGCGATCATGGCTATGCCAGGCGCAATCCTTTGTCTGGCCTTGAAGAGGAAGACGGAGAAAGAACATCTGAAGACCACAACCCCTGCATGCAGTGTCAACTCCTTAAGAAAAAACTGGAGCAGGAGATGCAGCACACCGCAAGACTACAAAGAGAGGTAGGAGACATCTTATTTGAAGACTAAAATCAGAATTGAGTTGTTGAAGGACTGAATAAATCCAGTGAGCCCTTTTCTTCTTGTCCAGGCAGAAGAGATGAAGAAGCGTCTGTATCGGCTCGACCGCATCGAGAAGGGACTCCAGAACTTTCTGTACGAGGACCAGATCAGAGCGCTGTCCCTCACGAAGCGCTCGCGGCGCGCTGTCTGGTCGCCGGAGACGATCCTGAAAGCCAGAAAGATCCGCTGTGCCGTCGGCACCAAAGGCTACGAGTACCTGAGGGAGATCGGCTACCCTCTGCCCTCGTACAGGACTCTGTGCAACCGTCTGGAGACAAAGATCATGGTGACGACCGACATGAGCTGCGAGGAGCTGGCAGAGCTCGGCCTGGGGCTTATGGCCACATGCGACAGCCCTACAGAAGGGGTCGGGGACAATGACGAGGAAGAACTGATGGGAGTTTTATCCTGATCCCAGTTACTTAGACTGATTCTGAACTGTTGTAGAGGGACAAGTTGAGACATTACACTGTCCGTGATTTAGAAAAGTTTTGCGGCACTGGCCTTCAGGTCACCTGGCTGTATCCACATTTTATATCCACTCAGGTGATGTTTGATGCACCAGCTTACATGTAGCCTGATTCCTGTTCTGCTGATTCCCTGCTGTGATGCTGGCATGTTATGGTAGCCTGAATGTGTGAGGAGCATGTGCACAATGTAGCTCATTCATATGCGTCATTTATGTGTAAATGTGAGTGACGTTTGTTAAAAAAAAACCTCTTTGCACAGCTTTTGTGAAATCGCTGCTTGTTTTTAATGTCAATTGTGACACAGCTGAGTCTTTCACTGACCTTGTTCTATACATTGAAAAAAATTAAGTGTAATGCGAACAGATAAATGCTGCACATTTTGGTTTAAGAACCTTTTTATTAGGAACAAGTGAGATGAATGAAGCAACCTTTAAAGAAAGTTTGGTGATCTATTCAGCATATTTCAGCATATTTTGTGGATTTTAGCAACTGTAGTTCTCTAGAGAACTTGTCGATTATACTCTAAAAAAAAAACTGGATTTGTTTTATCCAGTTTAACAAATCGAAATATCCTCCAGTTTTTCCTAATGCAGTTTACTGTCAGTAAATTTAATATATCCATCTGATCTCTCTTTACATCCTTAAAAACGCTGTGTAGAATGTAGACATTGGCTGGTTTCTGTCACTTAGCTTTATCTTGATTAATCAGATTTTATATTTAACATTTCATGATAGAATTATTCTTGATTTATAGAGAACAGATTGGGATTAACAGTGTTCACCTCATCCCAATCCTTTTCAAATATGTACACTAAATCAACAGATTATGGATACTTTGTTGCCTTTTTTTTGTTATTATTTCTTTATTTTATTTTCTCTTTTTTCGTTGTTGTTTGGATCAGGGGTGCCGAAGTCAAGTCCAATAAAACAGCTTAGTTCCCTCATTAGCGGCCATTCTTCCTTTTTTTAATTTTTTTTAATTCAACGTTTAAATGTGCATTACCGCCATCTACTGGAATGGAGTGTGGACCTGTCATTCAGCTCTACGGAGGCCTGGTAGCGAGCAGTTCATTTGATTCAGGTGTGTCGGAGTAGGAACGCATTTAATGTTGCGTTCCATTCGCCTCAGAAACTGGAACTCGTATCTGGTTTTTGATACCCAACCCAAGATAACGGCGTTCTAGTTTTTCTTTTTCTTTTTTTAAAAAGAAAAGAAAATTTCAACCTAGCGACGCCCTTAGAAATTGTTTGCATTACAAACATAATTTTAAGCTGCTTTCCATAAGCAAACAGCACTTTTAATTTGTTCAGATTAGATTTACATGCGCTACGTGTAACATTGACGTTAGACCCACTTGAGACTTCTATAAAAATAAATATGTCTCCATCACATCTTATTACCGTTGATGCGAGGAGCGGCTATTTTGAAACGCATAGCCATTTTGGGCGACTTCGGCGAGGGCTCCAGTTGATTTTTTATTTTCGACTGGGAAGTCAGCATTTCCCATCTCCGAGTACAACTGGAACGCAGCATAAACATTGCAGGACGGCAACTCTCAAGGACTGGACTTGGGCACCCCTTGGTTTAGATATTTGGAATGAATTGAAATTAAAGTTAATGTATATCAACATTTTGAACATTTTAAAGTGTTTTTACTGTTCCTACAGTCATATGACAATCAGCACGTGAAAGGTAAATGAAAATACAAATTCCAAACAACATAGTATTTGCAGATATTCTTAAAGCTTAGTCCTTGTCATGTTTTAAGTAAACATTACATTATATTCTTTTATACAGGAACCTAAACTTTAGTCAGCTGTCTAACAGCCCTTAATTGACGCACTTGGGTTTAGTCAATATGGACTTTGAGCAAATCCTTCACGTGCAAGATTAGATATTTGTTCTGCAGGTTTGTTAGTAAAGCAGTGTGTTTTAATAACATGTTTGACAAGACTAATGTAACAGAAATTCACAGGTTACACTATAACTGATGGCTGGCATTTGTTCTTACTTGAGTGATTTTGGCATTTAAACTGTGGAGTGAAAAGACAACACAAGAGTTCAAAAGGAAGCTGAAAATAAATACATTCAGTTATGGGTGTATCCTGTCACCCAAACCAAAACATAATGCTTAAGTTGAAGACTTTTGTCTAAGTTTGCAGACATATTAAGTCTTGTATATGTTTACCGTTTACCAGCAAGTGATGCGTGATCTGTTACTACTGCAGACAATTTCACTTCATCGCTCTCAAATATAAAGAAGAATCTTGTTTTTAAAAAATAAGCAGGAAATAATAATAATAATAATAATAATAATAATAATAAAAAGTCTAAATTCCAGCAAAGTCACAGCTAACAAATGCCGAGTACTTCTTCACAACATGACCTTATTTGTGCACACTTTGAGTGTCAAATCCTTTGGCACAGCCAGTGTCTCTGTTTAAATTGGGGGAAGTGTTGAGTGAAAGGCCGAGCTTTTAAACGTCAGAGGTTTGCCGTGTGCCAGTTGGAGTTGCAGCAAACACGGCGGATAGAGGTAAGACTTTCCCTTTGCTCCTAAAACTCTATTCTTGTGAAGTAAAAATAAGATATACATGTTTTAGTTTCAAGCTTTATCTTGTTTGTTTGCTGTTTTACATAAATTTAAACCAAAGAAAGGTCAAAACTACCTCCTTTTTTTTAATTGATTTTTGTATGACCCCAAATCATTAAGCTAGTAGTTTCACTCCGTCTGCTGCTGTTAATTCAATTTTTCGACGTGGAGCCATGACTGTGAGCACTTTTACTACTTAAAAATTAAAAAGCGAATAGAAACTTGGATATATTTTAATAAATAAATAAAAGTATTGGGTAATTGCTGGAGTAAATGCTGTCATGTGCGAAAACGTGGCCATAAAGACGGTAAACTTTACGGCTGTGAGCATCCCCGCCTTAGCATCTCTGTCCCTGTAGCTCAGTGTTTCCCTGTCAACATGTTGCTCTGAAATTCCTTATCCTTTTGTCCGTGTACTCGGGAAAACTGGCTCTCATTTTTGCAATTAACTTCACTCAAGTGGACAGAAACAAAGAGGTTTTTATTATTTCATTTCTGTGAGACCAGACTGGGCGTTTTTATTTTTATTTTTTTATTTTTTTAATTAAATGACGGGCCATGATTGTCCCATTTCCACACTCAGTTTGTTCTGTAGTTCATCGTCCGTCAGACTAACACAGATTGTAACAAATCGCTCACATACAATTTTTTTTTTTTTTTTACCAGAAAACCATTACATTAAAAAAAAACACGTCCTTCCTGTAAAATCTAGTCATCACTAGCCGCCATATTTGTAGCATTCTGACGTGAGAGAAGAAGAGACCGCTTTTTTTTTTCTTTTTTGCACTATCCAAATTATTTCATAGATGTCTTTTTGTGGGTATCTAGTTTAGGCAGACAGAGGGTGACGATGCGCTCCCTGCTGGTGCTGTATCAGAGCGCAGCCCTGCTGGGTGCGCTGTGGGCCGCCCACTCTACTCTCTTGGTGGAGGGCGACAAAAATGCCTCCAGGATCTGCAAACCCGCCCCGAGCTGGGAGATAAAGGGCCGCTCGCCGGCGCAGGAACGGCTGGGAAATGTGGTGGTGGTGGCTCTGCTGAAGGCCAGCTGACACTTCTGTCTCGTTCAGGCGTCCCGGTGAGTGAGAAAAGTAACAAATGTCCGAATCAAACTTTAAGATGAATTCTGTATATTTTGCTAGAGTTTGACGCAGATCACTTCTTTGATTAAAACTGATGGTGAAAGGATATTTCATAACGATTAGAATAAGTATGTCTGGGTTTTTTGTTATTTGTTTCTCACATTCTTAGAAAATTCCAACTTTTAATTTGACTCTGTTTATGAAGCAGGAATAAATATGATGCGATGCAGAGGTAAATAGGCACTCGTATATTGACAGAGTTGCATCTCAGTATATTAGTAGACTTTTTTCCACGTTCTTTTTATTAAAATAAGTTGATACAGTGGCACCAAGTGGCACTATCAGACCTTTCATTTCTTGAAATATACAAAATGACGAATGTCGGCCGATACCGATGTTAGTGCGATATATCGTGCACCCCCAGTTTAAATAGTTAAAAATACACAATCTCAGCTCTAATTCTTCACTCGTCTGAATATCCGCAGTATCAGACGCCTGCGCACCAAACTGAGGCGCAGCAACATAACCGACGTGTCCTTCGTGATCGTCAATGAGCAAGATGCCGCATCCAGAGCCCTGTACTGGGAGCTGAAGAAAAGAGCTCCCACTGGTGTCCCAGTGTATCAGCAGGCGGCTAATCAGACCGACGTGTGGGAGGTGCTGGACGGCGACAAAGACGACTTCCTGATCTACGACAGGTAAGAAGACGCGGACCCGGCCGCCACGCCTCCGTCGCCGATCAGAGAGCTGAATGGGAAGTCGCTCCAAGGATGCCATTTTTCTTCTCCTCCCCGTCTTCAGGTGTGGCCTCCTCACCTTCCACGTCGTGCTGCCGTACAGTTCCCTGCAAAACCCGTACGTGGAGGCCGCGATCAGAGCCACCTACCTGGGAGACATCTGTAACTGCTCTGTGAGTGACCCGGCTGGAGGGGGAGGCGCATGCGCGAACGCAAACGGGCGGGAAAAAGAACGGCTCAGATGTTCAAGTTGTCACACTTGATTGATCGGGATGGTTCTTTATGAAGTACAGTTTTTTATTTAAGCACTATTGTAGTAGAGGTAAAAAAATAAATAAAAATAAAAATAAAGTCAGCTACATTACATCAAATTTCAATCTGTTTTGTTGGAGTTTGGTGTGATAGACCAACATAAAATGTCACAGTTTCACTTCTTTTACTTTGCAAAGACAAACCCAAAGAGCGTAGAGTTCTTTTGTGCTTTTCCCGCTTTATTCTGATACCACTGGAAAAAAAATATTTTCTATCAGCATATGTTTTTCTCATCTAGGTGATATTGAGGTAATTTGAAAAAAAAAATCAGACTCTGGATGTGGAAAGCTGGTTGGAATAATTCCACTTGTTGTTCCAATCAAATGTAGAGACTTAATACAAATGCACAGCAGATTTTTGAGGATTTTTATACATTATATTTACTTTTCTTTTTTTTTTTTTAAACTTATTTTTTCTTCATTTCACAATTATCCACTACTTTCTCATGGTCTATGACCAGAAACACAAAGGAAAAGATGTTTCACATTTTAGGTTGTAAAATGTTGCATCTGAGTAAGTACAAAGGGCCGGAGTAGTTTTCAGACGTTGTATTGAATATACGAATTATTTATCATAATGCTCTTTAACAAGGCCTCTGTATAATCTTAAATGTTTTTTAGTAGTTGTTTTTGTTTTTTTGTTTGCCAGACATCAAATGGAGGCAATCATCACTTAGGTCGTAAGCAGATTGTCGACCTGATGTTGGCGTCACTTTGCCTTAAATCTATTTATCCGTTTATTTGTTGTCCATTCGTTGTCTGTATTAGAAATTTAAAGACGCCAATTAGCAACACGATGAAACCAACTCGTTTATCTTTCGCAGGCCATTTCCACGAGGACTCCATCGATTCAGGGGACCATCCAGACACCTGACGAAGGGGCCGACCCCACCGAGGAGACTCAAACGATCCCCCACCACTATCACCATCATTTCAGCTTCTCCCATCATCAGCCCGCTCCTCGAGATAAGTCCCAGGACCAGCATAGGTCCGCAATATTCCCAGCTCCGTATCATCCGCACCATGCCCATTAGCACCCCCACCACAAGTAAATCGGTGTTTATAGGTCTTCAGGTTGTTTTTTAGAATTGAAGCCCGTTTTTCTTTCATTTTTCTGAAACGTTTATACATCCCGCTTCACTATATACAACGTGTCGAACCTGCTTTAAAAAGTGCAGCTTGGTGTTTCTGTTTTTGGAAAAGAGTAGTCAGGTTTCTCCGAGTTCTCCCATTAATGAAGTCCAGAGTCTAAAGCCTGTCTGCAGGCGGCTGTGGATGGATGACCAGGGGGACAGAAAGGAGGGACTCTGACCGCTACCGTCTCCAGACAGAAGCAAACAACGAGGTGCGCCGCCGCCGCCCAGCTGGTCTCACTCAGATTGTCTTTTTAAAGCCGATTCGTCCCGATTTGCTTTCTGCTTCACAAGATGTGAGGATTACGATGTTCAGAGAACAGGAATTACATCTTGTACACACAACTTATTGACTTATTTTAGATGCTGTTTATTGTGAAATTTCTTACAATTTCTCATTATAAATTAAACTTGTTTTGTATTTCTCCAGATTAAGGCGGAACTACACGGTAAATTGAGTAATTAGAAACTGTTGCTTCATAACATGAGCTGCAATAACTTAGAAAATTCTCTGTAATAACGTATTTCTGTGTAATTAATAAAATAAAAACTCAGAATCCAATTGCAGTTTGTTTTCAGTATCTTAAAATAAATAATACTGTAGAAAAATACTTAATTTTTTTATAGTGATTTAATGATATTGTGAGAGAATGGACATCAGAAGTAATTACACCCCCCACCCCCTTTCTGTTTGTTTGTTTGCTTCCATTTTTCTTATCTTGGCTGTGCTCTTCAGCTGCACTTATCTTCCTGAGATGCACTGGACTGCAGTGACAACACTTCGCCACCAGTGGGCACATAGAGCACGGTGAGCAGCACTCCTGACTCAGCGAGCCAACGGCAATTAAGCGCAGCAACGGCTGGTCAGCGGAGGCGCTCACTGTCGCTCTCATGTTTCCACAGGTAAATGTCAATTAGCGCTGCTGTTTGTGTCTCTTGTGGGGAAGGTGGGCTAGGGCGGAGTGGCGAGGTATATGTGTGGAAGTGTTTTGTTAATTATTTGACTTGTATTGTAAATATTTATTATTTGACTCATGTGGTAAATATTTGTTTGTGAGCGAGCCAACGGCAATTAAGCGCAGCAACGGCTGGTCAGCGAAGGCGCTCACTGTCGCTCTCATGTTTCCACAGCATTTGTTAAAATAAAAGAACCTGCGCAACACCACACTGATTAATTTTCAAGTGTGCAACAATATGATATAGTGATTATTCCCCCATTTGTACAAATTTGTACTTCCCAACATTTATAGGGTGGATTTAGCTGGTGAGCCATATGCCAAGCCCAAAGCACACACACACACACACCCACACACACACACACACACACTTATACACACAGCAGAGACGGGTCGATTACCTCAGAGCAGCTTAAGTCTTGGCTGAGATGCTACACTGGGCAGAAAACACACTCTGCTAGACCATCGAAATGACGGTAAAGTAACAATTTGATCATTTTTTGCACAGATCGTGCTCCAACACCAGCCAGCTGCTTTAATGGACGGTTATGTTTTTTTTATATATATATTGCTGAGTGCTTTGCTTAATAAGCCGTTGACATAGAACTGGCAGGAGCTGCTTGCAGGAGTCCATCCCCATCAGTGCGTTAGGAGTCCATGCTTTATCTGGCGCAGGGCGGGTCGCAACTTCAGCTACTTTTACTGCCTCTGAATGAGGGGGAGGGGCTGACTGCTCACCTTTTCTGTATCAATATGTATAACATTAGTGTATCTATAATATTCTAAATAAATCTGAAGTCAGCTTGAGGGATTCTCATCCTGGGAGGGATTTTTTTTTTTTTTTTTTTTTACCATAAATCCCTGGGAGGTTGCAGGTGAGGCTTAACCGCTTAGCTTTCTCTAAACAGCATGTTCTGCAAGGCGGCACAGTTCATACTGCTGCAAGTCACTTTCAGCTGTGGTGAACAGAAAAACACACCATATTCTCCACTACTACTTTATAAGGCTATTGGATTGACATGGTGAGACACAGTTGAAGCCAAATATATAAATGCGTTGTATATTTAAAAAAAATAAAATGAAAAAGAAGAGGACATGAGTCAAAAAAACAACAAAAGGAGCTGGATTGCAATTTTCACCCATACCTAAAGGGGAGTTTAGAGAGATCAGTTAACATAACGGTCATGTTTTTTGGGGAAGAAGCTGGAGTACCGAGCATCCACAGGGAGAACCATGATGAACCATGATGATACTCCTTGGTGCAGCCTGTAAACCTGACTCTGTTACACCAGTTCTGTCAGGAGAAAGAGCCACAATTCCAGAAACACTTAGGTGAGAAATTGGTGGAAAGAACTAAAACTATTTAACTTGAACAAAAGCAGAAACCAAATAGTACAGAATTCAAAAAGCTGTAAAGAAATCATAATTATTTTTCAGTTCATTCTAGGATTTAGATGGTAACAATGTTTTTAGGTAAGCCGAAATGACTTAAAGCCTGTGATGATTAGTCAGATTTAATGCCAGAAATTTTTTTTTTTTTTTTGAATTTTTTTTTAATAAAGTCTATGTAATTATCTGGGTTCAACTGCACATTCTCATTTCATTAAGCAAAACACCTACTTCTCTGGAGATGAGTTTATTGTCAAAGGTTGCTAAATCATACACGGAAGAAAAAGGCAGAAAAAGAAAGAAAGGTCTTTAATTTGTCATGAATTATGCGTCTGAAATTCAGTTATTCATATAATAATAGCATAGAGTCCTGAAAAGCAAAACAACTCAAAAAGAGGGAAAAAATACAACAAATGAAAGTACAGAACACTGAAAAAAAATAATAATTTGAAGAACTATATGAATTTGAGTTTGCTTTCAGACACTAGATGGCAGCACTGTTATACCGCACCCGCATCTGAAGGTTCATCGCCCTGTCTTCAACAGGAGGCAGTCGTTCATAAAGAGGATTATTAGTTATTATCCATCATCAGGAGATTAGCCAACATAATCCTCATCCTAAAAATCCAGCTCATCACTAGGTGGCTTAATCAAATTTGCAGTGGGAGGTTTCTTTCTTTGATAAAGCCGTTGATCGGGGTTCGATGTGTGAACACCCTGGGGTTTACGTCTCTGTCGTCAAAGATAAAGCCTTAAGTTTGAAGAGATCGCAGGTCCTGCTGAGCGTGGGAGGTAAATGGAATGCGTTGATCCAAAACTAACTTGATTCTAGAGCGTCAGTAGAAACGTCTGAGATGTACACGCACGGTAATCACAACATACCTGTGGACAGGCGCAGAAGTCTCATTGGCAGTTACAGAAATCACTTGCAGCGATTCCCTTAAAAGGTTCAGCAACAAACTATTAAGTTGCAGTCTGTGGGGATGCTGTGTTCAGGGTTTTCCACCGCTCAAAGCATTTTGGGCGAAAAAGTTTTGGGTTCTTCTTAGCAGTGTACCTTCTTTACATAACCAAAAGGTAAGATTTGCGGACCTACGGCGGTCCTGTCATCGGATCGTCCCACCTAAACTCTGGATCTGTGCGGCCCCAGAGGTCACCATTTATCAAAGAGTCCTTACAAATTCACTCTGTAATGGAACCGGTAACTTCTAGGATGTGGATTGTTATTTTGTTTCCATATCCGCCATTGAGAAATTTATATTATGAGCTGTTTCTCGAGTTTTGCCTTCTTCAGGTCAAGCTCTTTAAACTAGGTATGGCAATTAAGAAAAGAAAAAAAACTGCATTATGCTCATGTGTCCATCTCAGGGTAGCAATGTTGTCACCAAGTGGCAGAAACTCCAATTATTCTACCAAGGCATTCTGGAAAATGGAGGTAAGATTTTATTTTTCAGCTCATTACCGTACAGAGTCTTGCATAGTTTGGCAGTATTTTGTGCTGTAACTTTCCTCTCATATTTCACTGAACAGACAAAAGGACAGACAATTGGCTGCTGGTCTACTCCCCCGTTCCAATTACCTGTATATTCCTGTGCTACCTGATCACGATATGGGCGGGGCCAAAGCTGATGGCGAACAGGCGGCCCGTCAACCTCAAACCCGTCCTGGTGGTTTACAATTTTGCCATGGTCTGCCTGTCTGCCTACATGTTCTACGAGGTAAACTCTGGACACAAACAACGGAACTCAGAGTAACTTCAGATATTTTGAGAATTAATGTTAAAAGAACCGACAGGAAGTCGTTGACGTCTAAAGTTAAGGTAGCACCACCAGAACCCAATTATTTCAATGCAATGTTTTTCCACATTTCTAGTTCACAGCATCATCTTGGTTGGCCGGTTACAGTTTGTTGTGCCAGCCGGTCGACTACAGCAACAATCCATTGGCTCTACGGGTAAATTAAAAATATATATATATATATTATTTGTAGTTTAATAATTTAGGATCGTGTTTCTTCTTTCCTTCCTTCACTGTGTCTTTTCTTTTAGCCTTGCTTCACTGAGTCTTACATTTTCATTCTGTTCGGTTTCCTTTGTGTTATTATTTGCCGCTCCACAGTCGGCCTGTTTGTTCTCTTCCACAGTTGTGCCTAATCCCTTGATTAATTCGCCTACATTCACTGTCATTCTCCACTCTTCCCTCAGTATATAAGCTCACTGGTTTCCATTGTTCTTCAGTCGTTCATCTTCTCAGTGCTGGTCTGTTTAACATTCCTCTATATGCTGCTGTCAGTCCGTCCTGTTTCATTTTGCCCTCCTGGTTCGCTTTTGGATTTATTTATTTATTTTTTCATGATCTTTTGAACTTTGGACTTTCTGCGTTATTAAACAGTCTCATTTTTGAGTATCATGCAAAATGAACTCTTGTATTTTAGACTTCAAAACAAAGGAAAGGACTGAACTGAGTCTGACAGTCTGGAATTTTCTTTTTTGCAAAAGTTGGAATTTGCCAGCCATGGCAATAGCTGGGAGCAAAAAATAAATATATTTTTTATATGTCCTGATATACAGTGTTAGCCTCTATAATTAAAAGTGTCATTTTGTGATCAATAAAATATTTTTGAATTTGAATTATTATTTTTTTCTTTTCTTTAATTTATCGGATTGAACAGCTTTATACCTGAAATGAAAGTGTTGATGTCTCATATTGTGTTTTGGACAGATGGCCAGAGTTTGCTGGTGGTTTTACTTCTCTAAAGTCATAGAGCTCAGTGACACTGTGAGCACACACACACACACACACACACACACACACACACACACACACACACACACACACACACACCGGAGCTGCACTCAGTTAGATAACTGTAACATAAGTTAATGCTTCTTCTGGACATTTTAACAAGTTTTAATTTGGTGTCAATGCGTATTGTTTTGACAAGGTCAAGCTAAAGAAAGACTGCCCTCCACTGGTCAAAGCATAAAAGCGCATCAGATCTGAACCTGCAGCATTTGCCTTTATGTAGTTCAGTCAGATTCTTTAATTGGTTATTTCAGAATCAGTGCAATAAAAAGAAAATGTTTCTTTTTAGGATAAAAAAAACATCTATAAAAGTAAGTTAAGAGACACTTGTGTGACTTACTACAAAATTATGCCGCATTAAAATATGCATCAGGTGTCTATTTAGAAATATAACAAGGAGTATACTACAGTATGGCCTTAAATGTTCTGTTCTTGCTTCATTTAGTGTGTTTGTGTTTTGCAGATATTTTTCATTCTGCGGAAGAAGAACAGCCAGCTGACGTTCCTCCACGTCTATCATCATGCGACCATGATCTTTAACTGGTGGACCGGGGTTAAATACGTAGCCGGGGGTCAGTGTGAGTACGTCTCACTTTGTGTCAGCAGAATCCACAAGGACTGAACCGTGAATAAGACGATGATAAACAAACAGAGGTGGGCAGAGCACCCACAAACTGTAGTCAAGTAAGAGTAGCACTACTTCAGCTTATTGTTACTCAAGGTAAAGTAAAAAGTAGCCGTCCAAGAAATTACTCAACTAAGAGTAAAACAAAAGTATTTGGTAAAAAGTCAACTCAAGTAATGAGTAACTGATCAAATTATCAATCATTTAATGTTTTAAAGTTACATCGTCAGAAGGACCAGAGTATAAAGTTCAGTGGAAATTTTGGTGTTTTAACGACCAAAATGACAATATTTCATACAAGTAACAAAAAAATAACAAAATCAGACAATATATCTATTTTTTTCCAAATCAATTTCTTTCAATATGAAACTTAAACAAAAGCTGCAGGTGTGTGTCTGTGCCTGGTGGGGATTTTTGTTGGTTCAAACCTGTTTGTTCTTCATTCAGTGGGGAGAGAATCCAGAACTTTTATTCAAGTCAGAGTAGTGATACTTCATGAGAAAATTACTTAAGTAAAAGTAAAAAGTGCAGCATAGTAAAAATACTACTAAAGGTTCTTTTTCCCCCCAAAAAAGTTACCCAAGTAAATGCATTTGAATAAATGTTAAATAGTTACTCTGTAAATAACCCATCTTGTGTATTTGTCTGTAGCTTTTCTGATTGGTCTGATCAACTCCCTGGTCCACATAGTCATGTATTTGTACTACGGGCTCGCCGCCTTAGGGCCTCACATGAATAAGTACCTGTGGTGGAAACAATACCTCACTTCTCTGCAGCTGGTAAGAACGGACACTAGTGTCAGAGATAAAATGAAGCTAAGACACATCATCGATACAAGTCTTTGAATAAGTGTGTTTTTCACCTGTACTATTTTTTTAATCTGATGTTTGCTTATAAAATAGCATAAAATATGTGCTGGTGTTCTCCACCAGCACATATTCCTCTGCTAGAGGAAATGTTGATCATAGTGGGTTAGGATGTGTGAAATTATCATTAGTTATAGTTCCCTGGTGTCACTTTTGCAGGAAACTGTAGAGAATTGTGTTGACCCAGATATCAAGATTTTCATTTTATTTGAAAATGATATTACCTAAATTAACATGTAGCGTTCCTCCTCTCTCAAGATTCTATTTACTTTTCTACAAACTACAAACTCTTTTTACCATATGTAGATGACCCATTACTAATAAAAACCTCCCAGTGCCTAACTTTTAAAAATGCTGAACTTTTCCTTAAATTTGGAGGCTTATATAATCAGAACACAAGAAATAAGACAATCAATCTTGATGCTTTGAACAAGATTCATTTGTAAGAACATATCAAATTATTTAAAGTATTCTACTATTGTAGTTGGAAAACAAAGAACTTTTAAAGACATAATAAAAAAAATTAATAGAAAACAAAGAAACTTTAATAGATGAGAAGCAAAACAAGTTTTTTTAATCAACTTATTTTTCCTAATAACCGAACCATTTGATTAGAAGGTCAAAACTTTTGCTCAGTTCTTCCTTATTATTAAGGTAAATGTGCTTCTCTGCTCCGTACAGATGAACTTTTTGCTTATGACATCTCCCCTACGGTTAATATAAATATGTTTTGTGTTGCTGATGTCTCCTGAGTCCACATTTTAGTCATTTGCCATCTTCTTGTCTCTCTGATCAGCTGCAGTTTTTCGTCGTCACCATGCACACCGCCTACAATCTGTATGCCGACTGCGACTTCCCCGACTCCATGAACGCTGTCGTGTTGGCCTATTCTCTGAGCCTCATTGTTCTCTTCAGTAACTTTTACTACCAAAGCTACCTCACAAAGAAGACCAAAAGCAAAGAATAATCAAGTCAAAGAGAAAAGAAACCGTTTTAAACCAAGAGGACGTGCCAGAAGAGCCAACGGTCGGCTATGGCCGAAGCTTGACACGACACAGACTGGCACAGAGTTCTGTACGGTACCACTCTGATGCTATATTTTGAATATGGTAATCACTGGCCAATCATTGGAAGTGGTTTACTGGCAAAAGTTGAAGTCTCACCTTTGATCTTTGGAAAAATAGCCCAAAAAATCCTTTGTTGGACACAGAGCTAATATTTTCAGGTCATGTACCTTGAATGACATCTAGTGTTTGATGTGTTTAAACATATGGTCTATGTTTAAGTGAAATTACTCAGTAGTATTCCTGACTTTTTTATTAGCCCCCGTTGTTTAAACTGGCCTATGTACTTGATTGTGATTGTGTGTTAAATATTGATGCCAAGTCGCATTGAGGATAAATATTTTATTTTGAAAAAATGCTAAATATAATAGTTTTAAAATTCCTATTAAACTAACTTATTCTCAGATAGAGGAACAAGATTTGAGTCACTTTCTCTCAAAACACTTGCTGTAGTTATCCCAGTTCAACCAATAGATTCTCTTGGAACCAGTGCTACTGACACCAAGTTTGGTTCCTTTTAGGGCTGAAAGGGTTTTAAACAAAAGGTGATTTGGATGCAGCAAAGTCGGCTTCACAATCAAACTCTCTGGATGGACGTTTTTCTACTTATCATTAAAAGATTGGTTCTAAAAAGACAAATACTTTATGCTGCACTTTCCACTTTCCACTGTAAGAGAATTGTGTTGGTAATAATTTTATCCTGATTAAAAATAAAAAGTCTCCATCTGTATCTGCCTGCTGGACAGGCCAAATTTGTGGGATTGCACAAAATCACTCCAAGGGCCACAAATGGCCCTTGGGCCACACTTTGGACACCCGTGATCTAGAGTTTCTTCAAGTTTCTGAAAAACAGCATAATAGTGTACTTAGTAATTGATATTTAAACTAATGTTCTTCAGGTTTGTCACTTGACTACAGTGTTTCTCCATTTTTGGTTGGCTAACTTCAGCACCTTCAGTACAGAATATACTTTATAACATTCACCGATGTTGAGTTTGGTATTCGACCTGTGGAGGAGAAAACTTGTGACCACACTCCAGATGTACTAAAATCACTCAAAACAATGGCCTGTGCACCTCCTATTAATTAACTGTTTTAACTTTCTGTAAATGTAAGTTTTATTTGTTGAAATGCATTTGCTTGTTTTTTGTTTGTTTTGTCAAAACTCTGTTCTAAGTAGTAGATGGCGATTTTAAATGTTCAAATGTTAAGCAAAAAAGGATTAGCTTCTTTCTGAAAAAAGATCAAATGTTCCTGATTATTCTTAAATGCTGATATCCAGTGAAAATTACACCAGTATAAAAAATAAAATAAAAAATTGAGAGAGAATGTTATCATGTGAGTATTTTGGCAAATTGTGTACCTCCAAAGCTTCACATCACAGTTTGGCAACTTCTAAAATAACTCACTTGTGTGGCATTAAAAACCATATTTTGCTGCTGGCAAGTACTTAATCTACCCTCCATCTTAACACAAGTGTGCTACCAGCAACACACACACACACGCATACATACATACAGCTGGCTGCCAGACGCCCATTCAGAGCTTGATGTCCCTCAGCTTCACTGCAGGCACGGCTCCAGGTTCATTACTGCTGAGTGCTGTTCTGCTCAGGCATAACCGACTCTCTGGCTCGCCGTCACTTTGATCAACTTATAATTTTGCTTCCGGATGACGGGCTTCATCTTGACTTCTTAGCAAGTTATAAAGCTTTTCACACAATGCCAAGCTAGCGAGAGGCGTCACCCAGACGTTAATGCTTTTTTTTTTACTCGCACGTGACACGCTTGAGTAAGTTTTGAGCGGCGCGCGCGGTGATTAAAATGGTTTGAGTGTCGCCGCCGATAAAGTCACGGAAAGATTTAGAAGTCGAGCAACTGCTGGGTGATGAAGGTGCTTAAGTTTTTATTTATTTATTTTTATAGCTGAATCTTGTTTGGGAATGACTTTGTGTCGGTCTCCTTGGAAACTGTGCCAGACGGTGTTTGGGCTGCGGTCAGCTCGAGGCTCACTGTAATTAATAATCAGGTTAGAGTGAGAGGATATTGAAGTGCTTTTGCTAACCTCGCAGCCGGTGAGATGGACAGAGAAACACACACTCTCTCTCTCACACGCGCACACACATACGCTGGCAAACAGAGACATAATTGTTGATAGTGAGAGAGCTTTGGGACAAAGAGGCTGATAAGTGTGCTTGAAGGTGAGCTATGGGGTTGTTTCAAACAATGAAGGTTAACAAGAGGCTGCAGCAATCTCAGCGTGATGGGAACACTCTCTCATCCACGGGAAAACCGAGCTTTAATCAGCAAACCAGCCTGTAAGTGTAATTAACAACCAAGAAGCTCTAACAACTCCACTTTTCGACGAGGTATTCTGCCTATTTAAAACCTCGAGGAGGAATCTTATCCTGTAAAGATCACCAATCAGTCATTTTGTCGTGAACGTTTGTCTCGGTGCTCCACAAGAGAAACCCCATCTGCTGGTGACACCAGCCCTATTTCCAGACAATGGGATGAACCCAGCACCACCTGTATCTGTGTTATCGCTGCTTCATGGGGGATGTGCCATTTATCCTGACAGCCAGACAGGTTGATTTATGGCTTTTATTATTTGTTGTGGGACAAACGATCATACGCATAAAGGCGATTGTTTCCAAAGGACACTGGCCCAAGGGGGTGTTCTGTGATTTGTGATTTGATTTGAATGGACGTGACGCTGTAACTGTGGCGTACTTGAGCAAAATGGCAGAAATAGTTACTCTGTTTCCCATTCTTCAGAAGCTTCTTTCGAGAAGTACCTTTTGTTTAATGCTACATTTACGACTAAAAGAAAGGTTAGGTTAAACACTTTGGTTTTGTTTTTAAGATAAAAAACACATAGTTTGATTTTGTTGAACAATCAAGCACACAACCTCTCTGTTCAATGCTTTATCTTCATTGGTTCACTGGGACCATCTTCAGCGAGCGGTGTATATGGACAGGTCTTCGCTCTTGTCAGGGCCACACCGAGACACACAGAACAGACAAGAGACGAGTCAGTGATGAAGAAGTTAACCCTTGTTCTGAAGGAAACATTTCAGAATACTCTGTTTGTAGTTCCAGAACAGTGGTGGTGTCTATGCAGCCATCGTTCACTGATACAATCACCAACTATGGGCATATGAGCATGACACTTACCTTTACGGCCGTGGCCACCTTTAGCATAAAAACAGAAGGTAAACAAAATGGCTCAGCAATGGCAGAAAGAGCGCAGTAAGTTTGAGTTGACCTCCACAGTCCCAAGATCTCAATCTAGTTGAGTTTATATGGGAAATGCTGAGCAAAAATGTCTTCATGATATCTTATTCTCCCTGCATGACCTTTGAGATCAGCATCTATCTTTGCTTATCTAAAGGTAAATAAAGTGGCTCCATGTCTCATGGGGAGGTATGAGACATGAACTCTTTACCTTTTATCGCGACAATCAAACCCTTTGGCACTCATATACTTAAATGTGTTTTTTTTTCCGTTGGCATCAAAAGAATTTCTGTATTTTGGGAGATAAATCACAGAGATAAGCAATCCTACGCACCCTCCATTCACACAGATTATTTGATTTGATTGCGTACTGTTTTCAGACGAGTTTATGTGACACACCCAGTTATTCTTATCCTCATTTGGGCTAATTCACTTGTGAAATACATGAGACTGGGACTCCTGATTGAATTTCTATACATTAGTCAATGAATAGATTGCACAAAATATTTTTTAATCATGGGTTACCAACTTTAGCAGGAGACAAAAGGTTTGAAAAGTGAGTACAACGTGAATCAAGGCATCAACCATATCCAGCAGCAAAGGATGGTCTTTAGCTCACACTGCCCAGCATGTTTCAGATGTTTCCCGGATTTCAATCGATGGCCGATTAACAGGCTTTTGTTGAACTGCAATCATTGGAAAAACATCTAAAACATGCCCTGATGTTTGTTGGGAAACACTGGTCTGGAAGACTGGGGTACAAAAATATAAAGATTGTTATAGTACAACAAGCACGAGACCTAAACGACCTGAGCAGCTGAACTTTGAACAGAGCCATTGTGAAACATTTTTATAGCATAATTTGTGATTATTTAGCTCAGATTGATGAACATTGTTAAGCTAAATAAAGTCTGAATTCCCAGGACAGAAACACAACAGCAGGTCTTTTGGTTAACCTATCTCAATTCGGAGATTAATCCAACCATTCAGGTAAATTGTTGTGAATGAATAAACATGTTGGCTGCTGAGTGAAAACATGATTTATTATTATGTTTCATATAAACATTTTAAAATATGATTTCCTACAAAATTTCCTTGGAAATAACCGATGATATTTTACAATGGTCAGTTTGTACATTGGGGGCCTTTATAAAACAGACACAGGAAGGAAGAAAGCCATGAAGAAAAGCTGGTAGGAAACAAAGAAGGAAGGAACATAAGACAGGTAGGTGACAGGGAACTGATGACAGACAAAAATAAAATATATCACCAAAGGAATAAAAGAAAGAGAACTAAATGAAGGAGAAAATGAAGGATACAAGGAATGTAGGACAGAAAGATGAAAACAGCAATAAGAAGAAAAGAAGACAGAAAGGAGAAGGACAAAAGGGACAGAATGGAGGACAAAAAGAAGGAAGGACTTCATTTACACCCACGCTTGTCTGTTCAGAGCTGCACCCTCTGTCCTTCATGTGTTAGACGTGTGTCTGCTTCAGCTCACCTGAATCAAATGATTGCTTGCCACCAAATCCTGCCGAAGCCTGTTTATTCAAGTCAGGTGTGTGGAGACATGGAGACACTTAAAGGACTGTGGACCCGGAGGAACAGAAGTGGAAAAAATATATATATTTAGACAGGGAATAAGTCTGTTTTCTTTTTCTGTCTAAAAGGTTGAATTTTATAACACTGCGTCTGCAAATTAACGTATTGCTTTACACCAGGGGTCCCCAAACTTTTTCCTGCGAGGGCCACATGACTGTTCCCTTTTCTGGTCAGGGGCCGGTCTTAGTTTTTCGAGAAAGAAACCTTATAAAAGTTTTGTTGACGGGGGGGATTGGATTACTGCCGACACATATTTGTAGATACCCAGAATGCAAATGGAAAAAAACCGTGAGCGAAACGGTGACTGGTACTGACTAGTATATATTCCATTGAGGGAAACTAAGTTTCATATCTGCTCAAGAGCCCCCCTGGTGGTTGAAGAAAAATCCACATGTATATGAAAATAAACACTGAATGCTCTCTGGTATCATTCAGGGGGCCAAACCAAATGAGGAGGCAGGCCAGATCCCACCTGCAGGCCATAGCTTGGGGACCCCTGGTCTACACTGTCTGTTGTCTCACTTCTGATGCTGAAAAATATGTTTGACACAGCAACAGCACCAACAAT